ACTGTGAGAGTAAAGTGTCTTGCCCAAGAACACAACACGATGTCCCCGGCCAGGGCTCGAACCCGGACCGCTCAATCCGGAGACGAGCACACTAACCATGAGGCCACCGCGCCTACTGTAGGAGCATATAACCATTTAATATATAGAAACAACAACACTCACTTTTTTGGCCCATTTATTAAATTAATTTAAATTTATCTTCAGAACATAAAGAAAACTTATTCCAACCTGTACAACATCACATCTTTTGAATCGTACTCTCCTTTATTCGAAAAATCTGAGATTCCTTTCTTGATCTTGTGAAGGCATTCCTCTCTGAGAAGTTTAAAATAAGTATCCAAGTACTCCTTTTCTGATTCATACTTGCCCTCCTTTTTTATCACTGGCAAGATGTTTGTTTCAGAACCTTAAAACAAATGAAATCATTATTTAATAATTAATTACTTCTTACATTGCCAATGATGGACACAAACTTTAAAATACGTATTGCACAAATTATATAATGTCACTTGTAGGTCATCAGTACATTACATGACTCACGCATTTACGTGTTGGTGTGATCTCGGTAGAGATGGTAGTGAAACACATGATTTGTACATGATCATTTTGGGTGTATCTGACATTTGAGATACTGGAAGCAAACATTTCTACTTATGGCATGGAAGGTGGTTGTACAGGGAGGTCAAAGTACATTAAATACAATTATATTGACTTACCACAGGTATCTCTTTGAATTTCTTCATTCACTGGTAACAATGGAAATTCTCCCCACGGTAAAGCTTCAAGATCTCCATGGGCTCCTGGAACCTTAATGGCAATGGTCAGAGATAATTTTTCCCAGAAATCTAAAGCAGCCTGCCCGTTAGAGTTGCTTAACAAGCTTTCAGTAAGAACTTTTGCTATTGGCAACACTCTTGGACCAGAAGCTGGAGAAACACCAAGGACATGCACCAGAATGCTCTGAACCGTTTTGAAGGGTTGACTGAAAATAACAGAAGCAAACAAAACAGTCAGGTCTCTCCACATGTATGGTGGCCACCTTGGGGACAGAGAAAAGTGGATGTTGTAGAGAAGTGGCTGCTAAGGTAAGGTAAAGTCTGCATATATGAGCCAGGTGGCCCATCAGGTCCACATTTAACTTTTGACAATAATGCTGTTCTTTTGTTGGTAGCCACTGACGTAACATCACCATCAGATGTAAGTAAATTTGTATTGCTTGCTTTTTGACTTTTTTTTTTTTCATTCTGCCACTACAGTATTAATTCTATTTCGTCACCACTGCCACAGGGATCCCATGAGATTGCATCACGCATGCGCACGTCAGTGCTTATCGCTTCGCGCCGTCAGAAGGCAGCAAAATTTTTGCTGAATGAAATTCTGAAAAATTCCTTTTGCACACTTCAGTTATGCTATCTGGAAGAACAAATCATCGACTGAAGGAACATGAGCGCTGACGACAGGGAAAAAACAGATTCCAGTGCCAACCCTTCCAGGACTGCGGAGAAAAACAGCTCGGCCGACATGGCGAGCGTTTTGCAAGGCTTACAAAGCTCACTAACACAGCTTGTCGAGGTTTCGAAAGCCCAAACCAAAGCTTTTAATAGCCTCAGAGAAGATATTCTCCTGCAACCCGATCCAGACGAAGAGATTGAGGAAGGCGCTTTGGATAAGACGTCCAATTCACTCGACTTAACTGCGGCCACAAATCAATTGCTCGACTCGAGCAACGGCCAAAGTCCAAAGCCTGCTCACTCTGACTCAGGGTCAAAGAACGACCTTCTAGACAGCCTGACTCAGGCGCTA